AAAAGTCAACAAGTTCCACAAGCAACAACGACTTATCCAAGTGACCGCTGCAGAACGCACGCGAGAGAGAGACGAGGCAGCGCAGATTGCGCGTCTCAAAAGTGAGTGGGGAATTTACCGAACGTGGCACTTGCGGGAGTTAACACTGTACACAATCCCCGCAACCTCACACCAAATTTCAGGCCGTGTAGATAGACATATATACTTGATACTTTAAAGGAGTGGATTCATGTTTGTTTGGGTGTCTTAGTGTATAAATTACTACATATTTACAGAGATATGTCTGGCTGCTACCAAGCACATATTTTCTAAAAGGAGGTCAGTCCATGATTGTTTACAGGCCAACTAGAGTTATAGAAAACAAACATTGTGACTTTTTTGAATATTGAACTGAAAGGAAATGTAGCATTTAAGCCCTATTCATATTAAATGTGAATTTTTGTCCCAAATAGTTTACCTTTATTTACAGAAAAAACAGCAATAATGTGAAATATTTTTACAATTTAAATAATGGTTTTTATATTGGGCCGGGGCCGTCTGGGGTTTGAGCCCCGGCACATAGACCCGTCTCCAGGGCTCGACATTAACGCTTCGTTAACCCCAGACAGGTAACATGATTAAAACATCAGTAACCAAAAATAACTATGTAAACACCAAAACGCAAGTATTATTCTGATTGTATTACATTTACAGTAAGTGGCGAATAGTGGATATAGCCACTGTATATAATGCATCTATTGACAGTATAAGGTTGCGCTGCTGAGGCGAGGCTCCCGCAGCCTCTCCAGGAGAAATCAAAACGTGCAACACTAAGAAACTCAGCATCCTGAGGTAAACATTCAAAATGGAAAGTTTTTATATTTAAAATACAGTTAGTTAGGCAACATCACACAACGTTTTCACCATTACGACTGTTTAATAGTTCTATAAACAGTTCAATAAGCAAATACAATAATACTAGGTCACTTACATTTTAGGTGGAAACAGCGCATCTCACAGCAACCAGCAGATTCACTGCTGAATGATTCCGTGTTTTGAACGATTCGGTTAAGTGAGTCAAAGTTTCATTAGCCCATGCATAAACATCTGATGAATCTGCCGTTTGAATGAAATTTTATTTAGTTGAAAAGTATAAATTTCCACCATAATTTCTTGTTTGTATATTCAAAAATATTAAAAATAATCTCATAATATTATTTAATGCAGTTGTATTTTTCAGTGTAAATGATTTAATTTGATAACGTATAGATAATCACATTATTATAATTGAATTTATAGATGAAATATAAGAATTTGAAATGAAATTATTAATGAGATTAGTGAGAAAAGGCCCTCTATAAAGGTAAAAAAAAATGCCCTTGGATAAAATATAAAAAGTATGCAGATTTATATGTCATAGCTGATAGAAAACTAAATTCACTAAACTTCAGAATAAATTAGGGCTGGACGATATGGCCAACATTTATATCACGATATATTTCTTAATTTCGGTCGATACGATATAATTCCGATATCGATATGAACACTATTAAAAAAGCCTCATAAAAACGGCCAAGAATAGCCACAACAGATGTCTGTACCTACAAACTTATGAAAAATGAATTTGCCAACTCTATGAAACCTACTCCTATAAAACTATATCATATTTTAGGAAATAAATAAATGTTCACCTTTTATTGGTATTTAGCCTTCATACAAACAAGAAATCTGAAATCATTGTCAAATAAATCTCAGACTCTCCTTATTAATATTAATATTTTTTACTTCAAACTATAGG